ATATGGTTTTCTTAAAAAAGTAGTCTATGTCATTCTACAGCCACCGAACTATACCCATACAAAAAATCATGCCATGCCGACGCTCTGTTGCGACGTGAAAGAAGGACAAACTTGTGCAACATATTCGATTTTCCCACGGGAATGAGATGTTTTTCCGCGGAAAAAAGTAGCCTATGTCACTTTACAGCCACCGAACTATCCCCATACCAAAATTCATGCCATGCCGACGCTCTGTTGCGACGTGAAAGAAGGACAAACTTTTGTAACATATTCTATTTTCCCACGGGAATGAGGCTGTAAAGTGACATAGGCTACTTTTTTCCGTAGAAAATCATTTCATTCCCGTGGGAACATAGAATATTTCCCACGGGAACGGGAATAAAATGTTTTTACGCGGAAAAAAGTAGCCTATGTCAATCTACAGCCACCGAACTATTCCCATACAAAAATCATGCCATGCCGACGCTCTGTTACGACGTGAAAGAAGGGCAAACAAACAAACAAACACACTTTCGCATTTATAATATTAGTATGGATTACTATTTTAATTTAGTAAAACTTTTATACCTGCCACAGTTTTTCAAATCGTCCAGGGTTAACTGGTAAAGAATGCCATAAGACAATACGTTGGCATTTTATATCTCTCATTATAAAGTGTGTAAAAAGATGAAAAAAATAAATAAAATACTAATTGGTACCCTTGTCAAGAAGCTGGCTGTGACAAAACATATAAATACAATAGTACAAAAAGCTTAAAAAGTCAAAGATTTGGTCTACGTACTTGCTAACCTTTTTTGGACATAAACTGCATGAAAAGTGTTTATTACGCTAGTAGTATTTGCTCTCCCTATTATATTACGCATAAATAACAAATTAAAAGAATTCAGACGAAGTTTATAAGGCATTTGTGTTATAGTAATCACGCGTATGTACTTTATTATACTTGAAATAATACAAGTTTTTACGGAATTTATCGCGTATATTTAATTTTTTAAATACCCGACGTTTCGAGAGCTTTACAGCACCCATGGTCACGGGAAGGACTGAGATGTTCAATGTCCAGATGTCATAGTTACCCGCGGTTACCATAGATTATAATTTAACTTTTGTTCCGATCTACACAGTATGAACTTATAGTATCATGAAGTCTTGCAGTTGTATGCTTGGGTTAGGATTTAATTTTATTCATTATAGGATCCCAAGCAGATGATAGCACCCAGCCATCTTCTCTATTGAAATTAGGATGTTTTTTGATATCAATAGCCTCGCGAATCATCCTTGGAAGGAATCGGTGTTCTTTAGCGAGGATTTGTGGTCTATAAAATCTGATGTAGTGACGGGGGCGATCCTGTACGTGTTCACAGACTGCAGAACATATAGCTGATGTGAAGAATCGATGCTCCGGGCAGTCTGCATGCATTCGCATGTTGGTATCCCATTCGCATGTTGGTATCCCATTGACTGTATGCTTTTTTAACATAATTATATTAAAAGATATGTAATTAAAATAAAATTAAACATAGTTAAATAATAAATGTATTTCTACGATGTATAAAGTAGGAATTGTATTTAATTACAGCCTTCGCCATTTCCCTTCGTTAACAAAACAATGTTTGGAGAAGTGTTTTGAGCAAATGCGGCTATTCTTTGTCCAATGGTTTTGTGAATTTTCGTGGAATTACTCTCAATCAATTTTTTTTCCAATTCATTATCATTTTTAAGCCATACTAAAACAACAAAAATATAAAGAAGAATGTCGATACGACGTTGTCGACTTTGCCGATATGCCTTAAAACCGCATCACTATTGTTTAAATACATAAACATTCACGCCTGTCACCCAGAGGGGTAGGCAGAGACTACAGACTTCTATTTGGCACGATCCTGACACACCTCTCTCGCCTTCTTCACATCCATACACCTACGCATACACGCTCGTCGGTTAAGGGTACTAATTTGGCCCGTTTTCAATAAATCGTCAGTTAAGGGTACTAATTTGGCCCGTTTTCAATAAATCGCCAATTTGATCGATAAATTTTCGCCTAGGACGTTCCTTTCCGACTCTTCCATTCACTTCTGCAACATAAATTTTCTTTTTCACTCTTTCCTCATTCATTCTTTCCACATGACCAAACCACCGAAGCATTCCTCTCTTAATCTTGGTCACAACATCATCTTGCAAACCACACTCTTCTCTTATTACACAATTTCTTACCCTGTCATTCAGTTTCAGCCCTAATATACGCCTTAACGACCGTATTTCTACTGCGTTCTTCTACTCTCATGCTTCTTCTGCCACACCCAACTTTCACTACCATACGTTAAAGTAGGGACCAACACAGCATTTTGAATTGCCATACGTGCCCTTTTCGACACATTTTGACTCTTCACAATAGAGTGCAGGGCCCCATTTACTCTATTTCCCACATTCACTCGTCGTTCTTATATATATATATATATATATATATATATATATATATATATATATATATATATATATATATATATATATATTTAAAATAAATTTTATATTTCAATGTATTTTATTTTAGCTATTATATAGAACAAATACACTTTTACAAAAAATCCGACTTTTATTTTCGAAATAATGTGAAATACAGTTTACTTACAATTATAATGTAATTTTATTTCAGGATAGTAAAAACGTACATACCGGTGGAAGCCTACGAATTCTGAACCATGTCCATTACGGGAAGAATGGGATTTGCATTCTAGTATAAATAATAATAATAATAAATCATTTATTTCGGACAACTTGTACTTCCATATTGTGTTAGTAAAATGGCTTACAAAATATGTTAGTATTTTATTAATTGGGATGGTAAAACAAGCCATCTCCATTGATATATTTTTTTTAAAGATATAATTTTATAATAATATTTTTAGTAAAATATTAAAGACAACAGACGTCAAACATCGCAGTAAATTATACGATTTAATTAAAATTACATTAGTCAAATAAATTAACCAGTATGATCTTGGACAAAATAAATACGATCTTATTAACTTTTTTATTTAGTAGTGTAAAGAGAGACCAAAGATGACCACTTGACATTTCTTTTTTCACGCTTGAATTATACGCAACATCTTTGAATATATTTTTCACTTTTTAACTCATTTGAAAATTAAATTAGAAAAAGCAAGACTAGTATATTGACTCAATTTATGTAGAATTGTGGGTTCTCTCTATGCATAGGTATGTATGTAATTACTCTTAGGGAGAAAGATGTACCATTAATCATATTACAACAGCAATAGCAGCCCAACCTCACTAAAATCATGGAGGATAAGGAGTCATCCCAATACCATAGTAACAAATATCTAGGTCCAAGCAACAGTTACTAACGCCCTACTCTTCGCTGCAATAACATATAACTCGTACGAATTAACTTGAGACCTGGGCCGATGACGTAATTGTCAATGTACGGTATGCAAAATAATGCTCGTAATATTTTTTATATTTTTATTTGAAATTTTTGAGATTTGCATGAGATTATTAATAAAAACAAAATAAAATGTTCTGGCAAGGGGTGAAGTAATAAGTGATATACTGTTGCCATTTTTATATATTTTAAATATTTATTTTTTGTAATATATATAATATTATTTTTAGTTAACGCGTCAAGGAAGGACAAAGAAATAAACATACACACTTTCTCATTTACAATATTATTAATTTATTTATTATACACTTTATTGCACTATAAAAAGTGTTACAGATTCGTACACAATAAAAATACAAAGCATAACAGGCGACCTTATTGCTAAAAAGCAATCTCTCCCAGGCAACCTTAAGTCCAAACCAAACAACAAACAATTATCAAAAATATCGAACTAGAGTCGAGACGCGTATCCGTAACAAAAATGCTATCGGTACTGAGCGCGCACGGCCAGCGCGGGACGCGGTGCGGGGAGTCGGGAAGGGGGTCGCATTTCAGCGGAGTCTCAAGTTAATTCGTACGTGTTGTAAAAGCTGGACCGCAATTAATTTTTTTTACTCCAACATAATAAAACCTCAAGCATATTCGTCTATGCTTAATGTTGTACATCTGGTGGTCAGATTAGATTGTGAGTCTACGCAAAAACTTTACCAAATAAAACCCCAGTTCCCGTATCGGATAAAATTTTCTCTTTCAGGATCACTAAATCCCACTAAAATAAAAGGAGAAGAGAAAAATAAAAAGAAAATTAACTAACCACAGAACATTAATACACTGACAAAAACAGAACGGAAACGTTTTTTATTCAATGTAGATTAAACACTCTACCGAAGACCTAGCTCACAGAATAAATAATAAAACTACGTACCTAGGAACTGTTTTTGTATTTCTGTTGATTTTCCCCATATATGGTTTGTAAGTAACGATTATATATTATAAATAATAAATGACGCGTAAATGAGCGTACAAGCAAAATACCATTTAATTTCATGATTCTTAGCGATATAATTAACGGGGTATAATTTTAATTTTCAATTGAAAATAATCAGTCTATCTTTTTTATTTCTAAATTATATTAATTGTTTGCGTTTCTTTCCTCTTTAATCTTTATTTGGACTATATTTAATCTTTATTTATTCCCTATATAATATTGTAGTCTTTGGACTATACTGCGATATCGCGTCCTTTTCTCCTTTTCGTGCTCTTTTCCATTCCATCCCTCCATTTTTAAAAGGCTCTTTTAAGTGTCCACATTGCTTAAAATATTATATATTACGATAGTCATAACTTTTGGCATAAATATTTGTAAGCAGTAAATAAGTAATACATTTGTTATTTTATTATTAAAACATTTCCTTGAATATTTTATTTTACCGTTGTATGCAAGTTTTAAATTAAATTTGCGTCGGCGTCTCTTTTTGTTCTGTAGTAAAACATGACATTAAAAGAACCTTTTAAAATGACAGCTTGATTTGGTTTGGTTTCCGCTGCTGTGCTATTGTGCTATTTTTTTAATTTTTGGTACAATAATCGCAGGAATATGTCGATATCTACAGCCACAGGTATAATATTTATAAAATTGCATATAACTTTAGATAGTTCTCTTAAAATTACTATATATTTTAAGTCAAACATGATGGAATTATGTTTTAGGACTAATGCCATGGAATCCCATATGGCGGTTCATACTTCACATGATTTAATGTCATTATTTAATGATTGAAAATTTTGTTTTTGTGTAACCACTTCACATCAATTAGTGATTAACGGTTAAGTCTTGCAAATTTTAGGTTAAGCCTTAGTGCTTAATTGTAATGATAAAGTAGCAGTTTACGCCTTTATTATTTGTGCACCGACTCCGCTTCGGCCGGTGAAGACTCCCACTGACTTTTAGTGAGCCTTATTCTTATGAATTCTAAAAGTGTTTGAATTTTAACAATTGTATCTTAAAATGTAGTCATATTTAGTTTAATCTTTTAAAAATGCTAAATGTGTTTTGGTATTCACAGATGATCGCACTGAAGGCGATGATGACACATCACAAGGAAGTCAACCTAAAGATGACAGTAGTGGTTCTGAAAATGAGAATGAGCCTCAGAGTCAAAATGGTGGTTCACCAAGCCCTGAAGTACATGAGATTACAAGTGATGAAGAAGATTGTGTAGTGACTAATGATGATGAATCATCAAGTTCTAGTACAGACTCCGATGATAGTTCAGAAGAATCACAGCAAAGTGCTAAAGATAGGGATGAAGTAAAGCAAAAAAGTGCGGAAACATTAGAGAATGGTGGTGAAGAATCAGACATAGAGGAAGTGTCTGTTGAGGATCCTCTTAATCAAACCCAAAAAAGTAAACCTATAGTGGTCAGTGATACAAAAGATTTAGTTGATCTTGCTACAAAACAAAGTAAATCTGATGAAAGTGACCCAAATAAAGAACCAACAGTTGTAATTATAGACACAAATTCAATTATGTCTGGAAAAAGCACAACCCCGGTGCAGAATAAAACACCTACTAGCAATTTTGATGCTCACAATCTATGTCAAAGCATAGCTGCTCGAGGCACAACAATTACCCCCGTTAGTAGTAAGACAAGTACAGTGACACGAAACAATTCACCAGCTTCAACTCAACCCAACATTTTGCCTTCTTTAACTGATGATATGTTTGTGGTAGAAGCACCATCATTCATAGTACCTTATGTATATGAAAAGCCTTCAGTTAAACCTTTTAGAGAGTTTGTTGACAAATTAGGAAAGCAATTGGATGAAGTAAAGTTGAAGGAGGATCAAGAAAAATTACAGAATGAATCTGAAAGGGTTAAAAAAGAAAAGGAAAAGCAAGAAAGGTCTGAAAAGGGGGAAGAAGCTGAAGATGAAGCTGAAAGTGACAAGGACAACAGGAGAGAAAAGAAACAAGACAAGAAGAAGCGAAAGAGAGGAAATATGGATGATGATGATTCTTGGGATGGTGAATCTACCAGTGACTCTGACGAAGATGCACTGTCAGATGATGATACAGTAGTTATAAAAGATAAAGATGATACAGATATAAAAGATCCTATTAGTATAATTTCTAAAAGTCTTATGGGCAAAGGTGACAGTTATTTTGACTGTTCGCTTGGTCAATTCTTTATCAACATTGGTTTGAATCTTGTTCAAGAATTTGTCCAAAGTGATTTACTTAAGCAACAAAATAGAAAATTATATAAGGAAAAGAAGTCAGGCCGTAGCACTAAAGCCACTGAATCTGCTATTGTATCACTCACTCAAAATTTAGAATTCAGTAAAAAAATGAATGCCCCATATACCCTTAAACAGAAAAAATGTGAATTCTGTAGTTTTAAAACGGAGTCAATGCTTATAATGGCACATCATTTGGAAGCACCACATATGAGGAATAATATATATAAATGTAACACATGTCCGTTTGAAATACGCAGTCCTCATGATATACTATTTCACATGGAAGCTGAGCATAATATTAGAGGCAGGCTTGAAAGAGCACCAGCTTATCAACAATGTGCCAGTTGTCACTTTGAAGACAACAGTAAAACTAAATTGGCACGACACTTAATTGCATGTGCAAAGAAGTTTAAGCCAGAATTCAATCTGGCCCCACCACTGGAATGGGAACCTCCAGCTAAAATACCAAAGTTAAATAGACCACGCAATAATGTTGTGGGACCATATCAACAAAACTTTAGTAGGTCTCAAGTTGGTGTTAATAGCTTGGGTCGACCCCCAATGAATGTTAACATTGTCCCATCCATGCCTGTGCTTGGACGACCTCGTGGTCGTCCACCTATGTCAAATCCCATTAGGCCACCAGTATCTGGTGTGCCTATTTTACGCAGTGGAGTTATGATAATGCATAACAATCCTCCATCTGGAACCACTATTGCTAATTATCCCATCATGCAGAACAACCAAGCTGGAAACCATGCATCAGCCACTCCAAAGATTTCTATAACACCACTTCCAAGGGCACCTCAACCATCCTCGTCCCAAACACAACAAAACTCTAAAGCTACATTTGTTATCTGTGAAATATGTGATGGTTATATTAAAGATTTGGAACAACTAAGAAATCATATGCAATGGATACATAAAGTGAAAATTCACCCTAAAATGATTTACAATAGACCACCATTGAACTGCCAGAAATGTCAGTTCAGGTTCTTTACGGATCAGGGCTTAGAGAGGCATTTGCTGGGCTCTCATGGGTTGGTAACAAGTTCTATGCAGGAAGCTGCTAACAAAGGGAAGGATGCAGGTAGATGCCCCGTTTGTGGCAGAGTGTACCAGTGGAAACTGTTGAATCATGTGTCAAGAGACCATAGCATAACTCTAAAGCCAGCACATTTATCATACAAGTGTACGGTATGCACTGCAACATTTGGAATGTACAAACAGTTTGAGAACCATGTGTACTCAGCTCACAGTGTGGTTGCAAAGAGAGTTATGGACAAAAACAAGACCACTACTGCCCCATCAAAGCCTACAGATAATGATTCTTCACTCAAGCCACTAAAGATCAGTGACGAGATAACAATTATACCACAACCAAAATCAAATGTGACTATCACTGCAAAGGGAAAATAACATTAACATATAAAAAATGTGTTAACACTGCACCGACACCCAATACAAAACTAGCCTGTTTCAGTGTCACTCATGATATCAAGCAGTATTGTGTAAATAGACTAAGTTATAATATCATACTTATTTAAATATATAATAAATTGGGAAGCAAAGATTTAGCAACAATTTAGTTAATTAAGTAAGTGTGAATGTTAACTCTAATCACAACATATTACAAATTACAAACATAGCTTAAGATGTAAATTTGGTGTATAAAATCACTACATTCTTTAGATGTTCAATAAAATATGTGTTTTGTGGTTTAAAAAATAGTGCTTTTCAATATTCATGTCTGTGACTTATCCATTTCATTTTTTCATGTCACAAATGGTGAATATATTTTATAAAAGATCTGCAATGTCAAAGTGTATTGTTTACTAATAATATTTGAATGTGTATTTAGGTGTAGCTGTTAATTTAAAAAAAAAAGAATGATTTGGTAATTATCAATTTTTCTTATTGAGGTAGGCATCAGTTTCTATCTAAGCCTGTGCCCACCATTGTAATTTCCTTGCTTATGTCTATATTACATAGGCATTCATTATTATATGAATAATTTAATTTATTACATTCATTTGTGAGTATATTTGTCTGCCTACATTAATTTAATGTCAACTGGTTTTAACTAGAATTGTAAAATATAATTTAGGTTTAAACTTTATAATGATTGTATAATAAATCAATACGATCATGTAAGTTTGTCGATAATTTAATTATTGTAGAGACCTTATTCTTTAAGAGAATAGCAATTATGAATTTATACTATCCTCCTGAGCACCCACCATGAAATGCATAAAAGTATTTCTGGACATAAATTGCACAGCACATCGGTCTTATTTAATTCTGATCTCAGGTTAGACTGGAGTGTTGATTTGGTAAAAGTTTAAACCTAATGTCTATATTACATAGGCATTATTATTATATATTAATTTATTTATTACATTCATTTGTAGTATATTTGTCTGCCTACATTAATTTAATGTCAACTGGTTTTAACTAGAATTGTAAAATATAATTTAGGTTTAAACTTTATAATGATTGTATAATAAATCAATACGATCATGTAAGTTTGTCGATAAGTTAATTATTGTAGACCTTATTCTTTAAGAGAATAGCAATTATGAATTTATACTATCCTCCTGAGCACCCACCATGAAATGCATAAAGTATTTCTGGACATAAATTGCACAGCACATCGGTCTTATTTAATTCTGATCTCAGGTTAGACTGGAGTGTTGATTTGGTAAAAGTTTACTAAATTGTTAAAGTACTTATAGAGCTGAAAATAATGTTTTTTTTTTTAATTTAATAAAAGACCATTGTAAGCAGACTTCATGATTTATTTTACACTATTGTTTTATGTCGTTAAATTAGATTGAATAATGTAATTATTTACTGTCTTTTTATTTTTATTTTCCAATTTTAGGAAATTAGCAAAACTAATCACCTAAAGTGGCAATGGGCTAGCCGTATTGTTCAAGGAACCGAAAACTAGTGGGATAGAAGAGCTCAAGTGGGACCCTCTTACCAGTAAGCGAAGGGTAAGGTGGCCCCCCACTAGAGTGACAACTTTGTAAGAGATACGGGAAGTTGATGGATGCAGGTGATTTAGGACCGTGCTTTGAGGCATTCCTTGTTTGCCTATGTTCACCTGTGAGATAAGCTGTAATGATGATGTTGGTGATGATTATGAAAATTACAATATGTAACAGAAAACTTAGTGCAAACTCCCCACTAATTGCAATACATTTTTATATATGTATTATATAAATGTCCGTGACTTTGGGCTGGCAAAACATCACCCAAGCGGCACTACTAGGAGTAAAGGTATTCTGTGAGCATTATAGTTTCAGTCACTGATATTTCTTGATAGATGCTTTTTTGGCACAGTTGGTTTACGGATAATTTGGAATTCTCTAGTACTGTTCTAGTTAGTATAATTTTTACTTTGTATTGCGAGCTATTGGAATTTTATGAACTGATGAATGAATTTTACATGGTAGAGCTATGCTGCACCTATATTAGTAGGATGGTTATAGCACGAATAGGTCGGCTCGTCCGGTGAAGGACCACGCTCTCACAGACTACCAGCGTAAAATAGCAGCTCAACGCTGCTATGTTTTTTTTGGTGACTAGAGAATCGGAGACCCATTTCACTGGAAACGAGGCATTCCATCTTAGTGACTTAGTCCTCACGTGTGACAATGCATCTGCATTTTGATTTGTAATCGAGGATAGATGTAGATGTCAACGGGCCACAGCAACCACTTAGCGTCAGGTGGACCGTGTGATTGTTTGTCACACTTACCCTATAAAAAAAATTAAATTTCTGTGTGTTGATAGCGTAAAAGAGTGATGGATTCTTTTAATCCCGTGAATCCATTTCGTCCGGTGGGTGTCGCGATATGTGATTATGAGAAGTTCCACAAAAAATATTACTACTTTCAATAAATGGCGGTATAGTAATCTTTTTAACGCATGACAAAATACCCAGACCGGCAAAGGGCAGCTGCATCAAAAGTGTGAGATGCTTGCTGCTGCGATCTTCCATCCACCTACCAAGCGTGATGATTAAGGAAATTTGGTTGGCAGCGGAACTTTACACCAGATCCACTGCTGTGGTCAAGAGGACTATGGTGCTTCTAAGTGCTCGTTTTTCCTGGCCCTAGCCTCTACGTAACGAACTCGAACGAGGGGAGAGCGGTCCGGTGCGCAGGTAAATTAGTGGCCGCGTTTACGCATTTCCCCTTGTTAAAAAAGGTAATATCAGGTTATTTAACATTTAAATGTGTACACACATGTATACCGGCTGGCATTATTTAGAAATTCTCATGTACTTAATAGGTACCAACGAAGTTAAATCATATACATATCAAAGATATTTTTTTTTAATTTATGCTTTTACATACTTATACACATGAATTGCTCCCTTAAGGTGTGGGATAACGGAAAAAAAGGCCAAATGTAACGCTAGATATCGCTAGCTAGCCGTTAAGCCGGCTGTCAAGCCCGCCACGCCCAACCGTTACGTCACTTCCCCACCACGTGAGCCTTGCCCCGCCAAATTGCGAGTCGGGGGGAGGTGAAGTAACCGCCAGCCAGCGAATGCTATAAAAGCCAGGAGCGATGATTTTGTACATTCAATTTGTAATAATATTTGTAAGGGAACACTCTGCCCGAATAAAAGTACAAATCAGTTTGCGTTTGTCTTTTAACCACATTTATTATACACCGTCGTTTACACTCAGAAGTGGGATCAAAAAAAAAAAGAAGCTCATGACGAAACGACGCTCCGCTACACATAAACGTCGACGGTCGCCTAGTCTGGAGAATGTAGATTCTGCGTCGATAAACCAGATGTCTGAAAATTCAAACGAAGAAGGTAGATGCACACCACCCGCAAGGAAAATATTAAAGAGTCTCCTAGCACAAGAAGTTGAAAAAGCATTCAACGATCTGGAACATGAAGCGCCCACCCTTATTCGTCGAAGAGAACACAGTGCCGCATCTTTAATTCCAGAATTTGACCCTGAAAACGAAGAATGCACAGTTACTGCCTGGATAAAAAAAATCGAGCAACTAGGTCAAATCCACGGCTGGGATGACAAAACTAAATCATTCTATCTTCAAGACAAGTTGAGAGGACAGGCAAGAAAGTGGTATAATCGACTCGATGAGTACGACTACTCTTGGGAGCAATGGAAAGAAATGCTTCTTCGTGCGTTCCCGAAACATCGAAACTACGCTCATGTTCTGGAAGAAATGCTTCATAGAAAAAAACTACCCTCTGAAAGCATGACAAAATATTATCAAGAAAAGGTTGCTTTGTGCTTCAGAAGCAAATTGTCAGACATCGCTACGGTGTCCTGCATCATACGAGGGTTGCCTCTAGCATTACAATCAAATGCGAGAGCATTCCAATGCGAACGACCTGACGAGTTGTATGAAAATTTCTTGTCGGCATTCGATGACTACAAAGTTCCTGTAACTGATACAAGAGGAGGCTACAAGGATATGCCACACCTCATAGAGAAGAAACCTTCCGCGAACCCTAACACTGATCCATGTCCGCGCTGCAAGAAAATTGGACATTTAGTACGTAACTGTCCATTGCCTGACCAACGCAGCTGCTACAAATGCGGAGTTCGAGGTCACATTGCTCCACGTTGCCCGTCAAATCCTAGATATATACCTGCCCCGAAAGCAGGTAGTGTGAAAGAAATAAATTTACTTCAAAACTACAACGATGTTTACAAAAAGACTGCAAAGATCAAAGGTGCTTTCGTGAAATCGTACATCGATACGGGCAGTCAAGTAAATGTACTCACGAGTGAAGTAGCTACTCTCCTGGGTCTCGAAGCTAAGCCTGTCTCCGTTATTTTGAAGGGATTCTCTGGCGGTTACTTAAATAGTAACAGCGAAGTCGAGTTTGAGCTTGAAATTGATAACCTGCATATGACCTGTAACGCATACCTAACCGAGGCAGAAATGAGCGGCGTAAATCTTTTGATCGGGCAACCGGTTATAAACAGTGAAGGTGTGTCATTAGTTGTACACGAAGGCAAAGCTACACTTCAGAAGGAGCTCAATTTCCTGTCCAATCTTGATGTTACTGAAGCTAGCAGCAGATTTCGTGTCGTCACTGCTGCAAGTGAACGTTTACCACCAGGTATCTCAATTATCAAGGTTAAAATTATTGGCAATGCGGCCAGTAATCACGTTCTAACACCTGCGAGACATTTCGAGTTCCAAGAAATATCATTCTCCCTGCCAGCAACACTTCTACGAGGAAATGAAGGCTACCTCAAGGTCGTCAACAGTGGAACCAAGGACATCGCCTGGAAGGAAGGAACCATTCTACTTCGTGCCGAGAGCTGCCAGGAACCAAGCATAAATAACCAGGTCAGTCAACATGCCAATAATTGCAAAATGCCATATACCAAATGTATTTCACAATTGAG